TATACTATTTTATAACTAAATAAAATAAATAAAATACTAATACAGTATTACAGACACCTTTTCAGTGGCTTGAGATGGAGTGAAGTATCTGAGTTACAGAACTGTACAGAAAAAAAAGATTAAACTATTTTACCTGGACGGTAGAGTTCATGCTTCCTACTGGGCATGTCAGAGGAGCTCTCCTTAAATGTCTACAAGGCAAAGCCTTTTGAAGAAATCTCTAACAATGTTCAGGTAGTATTAATTTGACCAATGTTAGATGTCTGCTTTATAGAATCACGGAGTAATTAAGGTACGAGTGGACCTCTGGATGTCATGTAGTTCAACCTTCTGTTCAAAGCAGTGCTAACTTTAAATTTAGGTCAGGTTTCTCAGGGCCTTGTCCAGTCAAGTTTTGCTTATCTCCAAGGATGAAGATTCTGCAGCCTGATAAAGCTGTCTCTGGGCAAACTCTCTCATGCTCTAGAATTTTTTCCTTTATGTCTAATATCCTTTAGTGGAAGTCATGACTCTTGCCTCTTGTCTTGCCACTGTGCCACCTCCAAAGAGAATTTGACATCATCTTCTTTGTACCCTCCCAGTAAGTAATTTAAGGCAACAGTAAGATCTCCCCTTAGCCTTATCATCTTAATATCAAATAAGCCTTACCTTTTTGTTGTGTGTTGCACTCCCCCTTTGTGGCCCTTCACCGGACTTATTCCATTATGTCAATGTCCATCTTGTATTGGGAAGCCCAGGATGGGACACACTACTGGAGATGCAGCCTCACAAGTGCTGAGTTAGAGGGGACTCATTGCTCCTTTTAGCCTTCTTGCTGCTCTTTTGCTAATACAGCCAGTATGTCATTCGCCTTCGTCAGACACACACTGCTGACTCACGTTCAGCTTTCTCACTAGGACGCACAGGTTCTTTTCTGGTAAAGTTGCTCCTCAGCCTGTACTGTTCTATCCGAGGTCCAGGACTTTGTGTTTGCCTTTGTTGTAGTTGAACTTCCTGAAGTTTGTATCAGACCTTGCTTGTTGAAATTCCTCCGGTAGCCATACCCTTCAGCATATCAAATGCTTCCCGCCAATTTGTTGTCATCCCTGCACTTTTTGGCTTGGATTCCTCTACTTCTGTTAAGGTGAACTCCGTTAGATCTACGGTGGTAACATTGAGAAATGACTCCATCTTCACTGACAGTTGCACAGTCATCCACAGCTGCATTAGTTCTCTCACCAAACACATCTCATTGTAAATGAGAGAAGGGAAAGGGAGTCCTTATCAGTCACAGCTCAGGAGCATCAAATGTTATCTTTCAAAATGCTGTTGTATTTAGTCACTGATCTTCACATAGCCTAACGCTGAAAGTAGCAAATACTTCTCTTTAAGAGAAGGGTAAAGAAAAAAACATGCTTTGGAGCAATTGTTATCTGCACCTTGGTATGATTGCTGGCTTGGAATATTTAATCCAAAACAGCAGCAGCATTTTTCTTCTGTTTTCTTCATGATCTAAGAAATTATTTGTTGATTGGGGGGGACACTGGCTTTTTGGTTGGCTTTTTCTTTATTACTTCATTGACTGCTGATATCTTTCCGTAATCTCATATCTTAGTCTGGCACTGGTACATTTTAACTGTACTTCAAATTATTATTTCTAAGGAGTTTTAAAACCATTCAACTCCCAAAATTGGGAGGCTAAGTTTGGATTCCTAGGGCAGGTAGTGAGGAAAAACAGGTGACTCAAGCAGGCATTTCAGTTCAGGTCTGTGTTGTTGCTTAAGGGTGTCCCCCAGTTGCTTCACAACTCCATCTTGCGAAAAGACAGAGTGCACAATTTTCTGCTTCCCACTGCGCTCGCAGCCTAGTTTCCATGCACAAGAGCCATGATGTGCTCCAAGAGAGTCCTTTAATCTGTAAGATGAAGACACTAGCACCAGTGTGCTTTTGCCTGTTGTCATCCCTGCACTATAGACCCAGTCATTGAAAACTCTAGTATCCTAAATCACCCTCTCAAGAAGACCATCTCTTGCCATTGACTGTTCAGGCTCCTAAGCTAAATGCCATATGTTAAATGGTCTCTATTTAAGCAACTGAAATTGCAATTACTTTGTATAGAGTAGTCTCTGCAACAGTAAATAGTGTTTTTAAAGTATAGGTGACCCAAGGCCAGTAACGCATTCTGATGTATCTGTATTGTACTAAATTAAAAATAAGCAAAGAAATGGGAGGGTAACATTCCTGTCAAAAAACCAATATAGATGTGGTGAGTTTGGTTGATTTTTTTTTCAGTCGGTGAATTTAACTTCTAACTGTTTATATCCATTTTAAAGGTTCCAGTGAGTAACGGAGCTGACATCACGGAGTATCGACTGGAGTGGGGCGGTGTGGAAGGATGCATGCAGATCTCCTATTGTGGGCCTGGGCTCAACTGTGAAATGAAGGGGCTTTTGCCTGCCACTATATATTATTGCAGGGTTCAGGTAAAGATGTAAAACTATTGTTAGTGAAATCTGGAAACGGGAATTGACCCTGCCGTAAAAACATGGTCTACTTTGCATTTGCAGGCAGTGAATGTTGCAGGTGCAGGCCCTTTCAGTGAAGTAGTGGCATGTATGACTCCAGCCTCTGTACCTGCAGTTGTGACTTGTCTTCGGGGACTAAGTGAAGATGAAGTTGAAAGTCCACACTATTCTCCTTCCACATGCCTTGCTATAAGCTGGGAAAAACCTTGTGACCATGGATCTGAAATCCTTGGCTACAGCATAGACTTTGGAGATAAGCAGCCAATAACTGTTGGGAAGGTTCTGACCTATTTTATAGACGGCTTACAGCCAGATACTACCTACAGGTATGCCATGCACAGCTACTTGACAGCCTACTGTTTCTTCCACAAGAGCAGATTCGTTGTTTGTTTCCTTGTATTTTTTTATTCTCTGTATTACTCTCAGAGAAGCATTAGTACATAGCCATGGAGCAAAAGGAAGCTTTGTAATGATGATCATCATAAATAGATGAGCTGTGCTGTTTTAATTTTCTTTCAAGAACAATTTATGTTAGTTTATTTTAATGTGGTATTGTTGTATCTGTCTGGTTAATGTGTCAGTCTAACTGAATTCAGATTACAGATTCAGATTCATAACTGGTTTTTTTGATTGGTTGCTTCATAGATAGATGGCCTCTAATCTGTTTGACAAGATCAAATCCATCCAAGGGAGGACCATGTCCAGTCCTTTTTGACTGGATTGTCTGATGTAATGACAGCGCATTGCAACTTGCAATGCCTTTTCTGCAGAAATAGCAAGTATTTGGGTGGCAGTCAGCATGAAGAATATCGGTTTGAAAATTTATCAATTTTAAATCTCTTTTGAAGAATTTTAGTTGCTAAATCATCCCGTGTGTTTGGCCTAAGGGTTACTGAAAAATATAAATGTAAAAATCAATAATTCTGCTTGAAGGCACTCTACATTCCTGTTACAAAAACATGTCCTCAGTGTTAAAACTTGAAGGAGAATGTCAATCCCACTGAATTTAGAATTTAAGCGCACACTGATTTCAGTATAGATAGAATATCATCTGGCTATGCAGTTTTATGAATCCTTAAAGATTTGTTTTTACTTTTTTAATGCTGTAAGACTACAGTGTTTCTGTGTGCCTTGTAAGTATTTAACAATAATGCCGACAATGTAAAGAGCCGTTCCTCTCTGTGTCAACAAACTGAAAAAAGAGAAGCTTCTATTGCAGAGATATTTCTGTACTTCTACCCACAAAAGTGCTTTTATAGAATACACTGTCAACTCTTTGTGCAAATAAAAAATTACATATATTAACCCTAGTTGTGTGCTATAATAAATATTACTGTAGTGAAGGAGAAATATTTATTCATAAGCCTGCACACACATTTGTGTTTCAATATTTTGAAATTGTGTGGTTGATTGTTTCAGAATTTAATTATTGTGATTACTTTTTTCCAGTTACCTAGGTACTGTTTTAGACAATCAAATGTTAGTCTGCAAAATGAGATTAGACACACTTTGCTGTCTATGGCTACCTGTGAGATATTTCTCTGTTTTCTGCTTTTTCCTTTTTAGAAATAAAATTCTTGGCTACTTTTTTTAATTCTTGTAAACCTAACGCCAGCATTGTTTTCCATGGAGTATCCAAAAAAAACCAAAACCTCCCTGAATCTCAAGTTCTACAGACCCCTCAGCCATGTGTCCTTTGACGACTTCTAGTTTCCCCCCCCTTCCCTGTCCAAGTAGACCCAAGATGGCTTGTGTTTGCGGGCACCCGGACACGTGTTATCAGTGAAAACAGCAAGAGAGGTGGCTGGGCACTTTCACTTTATTTTCACATGAATCGGATCTGTTCCAAAAAGCCTGTAAAACTTTCCTGTAGTCGTCCTTAAACTCACCTGATGTAATAGCCAAAAATACGGATTCACCTCTTTTGGGGTGGGGTTTTTTTACCTTCCCTCATCTCTTCAATGTGGCTATCAAAAATTTTGGTACAAGGCCTTGCGGGGTCAGGAAGATGGACCAATCTTGAAGTAGCTGATAGAGCTTTTGCATCTTTTCATTAATATGAATGATGCAAATACACTAACATATTTTTATATTTAATCAATCCAGCTCCTTAAAACGTGGCAAGGAAAGTGACGCTCCTGCATATTCGTGACAGTCTATCAAAGCGTAATATTGATAAAAGTCTTCATTGTAGAAAGTACCATCTATTTGGTACTGTTATTCTCTCTTGAATGTGAATGGTGGAAATGACCAGTTACTTTTTAGAATATAATTTCAAGTTAATTTATTCTCTCTTTTTTCAAATACTAGAGTACGAATTCAAGCCCTAAACAGTCTCGGCGCGGGTCCTTTCAGCCACACCATAAAACTGAAAACAAAGCCTCTCCCCCCTGATCCACCTCGCCTGGAATGTGCTGCATACAGTTCTCAGACTCTCAAGCTGAAGTGGGGAGAGGGAACTGCAAAAGCATTAACTGACTCCATTCAGTACCACCTTCAAATGGAGGATAAGAACGGAAGGTTGGTTTTGGCACCGCTTTAATCTGCCCTGTATCGCTGTGGTCTGATGCTTGGGAGATGGCAGCAAAGGGCAAAATTCCATATGCTTTGCTGTATTTACAACAGACATAGGAGGTCATCTGGTCTGGCAGGGCAAGAAGGGCTCTAGTGTTCTGTGCTGGGAAATACAAGATTAAAAACTTCATGGTTTTTTATTTACAGTTCAATATGAAGAGTTTAATGAAATGTTTCGCACCAGCACGCTTTTCTCTATCTCATGTTTGGTTAAGTATTTTGTCGAAGTATCAAGTCTAATCAGTCTTGTGGATTTTATATACTTGATGTTGGAAAGGATGAATTCTTTACTCTCTATTGTCTTAATATGCAATTATTTTCAGTGGAAAATAAACTCATATAGTAAAAATTATTTTTTTAAGGGATCCTTCTCTCATGTTAAATCAGAATGTAAGCTGAGATGGTACAGCAAGTACCCTTGCCTAAATGGTAAAATGAACAGTACTGCTACACTACGTACTGTGTCTGAATCTCTTGACAGTGAGACAAAATAGATCTGCTATGTGAAATGGCTCTGCTGTAAGGAGGAAAAGAAATTAGACTCTTAACTGGAAAGAAATGCATTACCATTACCAAAGACTAGGTCATGTGCAGGTACCATCTGTTTTAAATTTAAAAGAAAAGAACAAGTTGAAGTAGATGATAACCCCTGCAGAAAGAGATAAACTTGTGCTGTATCCTAGGGATACCAAAATTGAAAATCAAATGAGAGCTGCCAAGATCAGTCTATGTAAGAATTATAACATGAAGGAGAGTCTACAAAGCTCTCAGAATGGGACTTTGTGTGCGCTACAAGTGTGGCTCTGGCCTCCTGTGCCGATCTGAGTGAGTTTCATCAGTCACCCATCTCTGACAATGATGTACAAGAGCAGTTGGATCCATGACCCTTTCTTAGGTGTAGTAAGGGAGAGTTGCAAAGGAGCAAAAAGCTAAAATCTAGTTAACTAATTTTGAAAACCTAAAGATTTTGGGGGAGCGGATGGCCAAAAAAAGGCAGTGTACGCAGCTCACTGAGGGAGAGAACTGCTGTCCTTTCCCATTGTTTCAAGTGCAGAAGGATTTCCGAAAATGCTTAGGACCATTTTTGCCAAGAGACAATCTGTAGTACTCTTTGTGTAAAAGATACTTTTATTTCAAAGACATGAGAAATAAAAGCTTGGTCCTGGAAAACGAGCTTATTGTTTTATAGTAATGCCAGAACACTGTTTAACTCCAGCGTAAATATTTCTGGGCTTCTCATTAGATTCTGGGAAATTATGGGAATAGATTTCAAGACTGTAGCTATTCCGGAAGTGATTTTCTGTTTAAAATAAGCTACTCTTTCCATTTTCAGGTTTGTATCCTTATACAGAGGACCATGTCATACATACAAAGTACAAAGACTCAGTGAGTCAACATCATACAAATTTTGTATTCAGGCATGTAATGAAGCTGGTGAAGGTCCCCTTTCTCAGGAGTATGTTTTCACTACTCCCAAATCTGTTCCAGCTGCCTTGAAAGGTAAAGGTGCTTCTTTTTTCATTTGGGGGGTGGGGGGATGGCAAGTTGGTTTTGGTATTGTGTTGTATTTGGGGTGTTTAGAATACTAAGCTCTTTCCCAAGTGCAGGTAGGGATAGTAAGGAAATGCTCATTTCATGTAGTTGCCTAAAGCCTAAAACACTCGCTCCAAAAATGAGAGACTTGGGGTTTATGCATTCTTTGACATAAGAAGGTTTGTACTTAGAATCCTTCCTTACCAGGAGAGAGTGACCTGTTACAGTAATTTGAGGTGAAAATTCTTCCTAGCATGTTTAGAATAATTTTAAGCATAGCAGCTTTTTTTTTTTTTTGCATACGGTACACACTTGCAGTCACCAAATTTTACTTGCTTTCTCTTGGATGATACCTAAACTAGCAATAGAGACCTATGTGAATTGTTAGTTGTTGTTCCAGAAAACGTTGTAGGAAAAATACATTTGAATCTAAGTCTTTTGTTTCTCTGAGACAAAATAGCAGATAGAATACAGACTTCTACAAGTTGTTAGAATATAACATTAAGTGATGGGCAAAGCAGAGCTGTCACTTTTGTGTTTTCTTCCTTCAGCACCAAGGATAGAGAGAATAAACGATCACTCTTGTGAAATCGCATGGGAGGTTCTGCAGCCCATGAAGGGTGATCCAGTTATCTACTGTCTTCAGGTCATGGTGGGAAAAGACTCAGAATTCAAACAGGTATGATGTGTTTAAGTTACTGTATTTTTCTTCAATTAGTATTTGTGATAACTAGTTTAGATTAAAGATTATTGTGTTCCAGTATGTTTTTAGTCACCATGCTAACTTTTTGTTACTAAATAATATAAGGTGGTATCTTCTAAAACCGTTACCACAGAGAAAAGAGATTTAATTAATATAAATATTGCAGTAAGTTGCAGCTTCTCTGGGTTACACTGATGTTTGCTAAATACAACTTGACACCTCAAGTGGTGAGGAAATTGTCCACTAATGGGAAGAACTGACAGAAAGAAAACATCCATCCAATGATACAGAATTGAGACTTACGAGAAAAAGAACAAAGGGTTCTCTTTGCACAAAGAGCTGCTTGAAGGCAGTAAACAATATTATAAAAGCTTTGATGTTGTCAAAGTCATACTTCTGTACAGAGAACTGCAGATAGGAAAGACCGCCTACTTATGCAGTATAGACATTCAGGTGTAGGGCAACTTTTTAAATATAATTTAGTGATTAGTTTTTTACCATAGGACCATTTCAGTAGTAGGGCATGCTGTAACTACAAGGATCGAGCAGTTGAGAGTGTGTTTTAATTTCAGGTTTGATTATCCAAAGATCCAATTCGAAACACTAAGCTACAAATTAGTCTGCATTTAAAAGAGGATGTGCGGTGCTGATACTTGACATGAAATTAGGCTTGGAAACTCTGTTTCACACTATTAAGCAAGCAGATTTCCTTCCAGAAAGGAAACACAATTAATTCTGGTATATTATAATTTTATTATAGGTCAATACTAAATAAGTTTTGCCTGTGCTTTGGTAGATTATAGGCCTTCATGTTTTGATAGTTCATAACTTTTAGTGTAGTGCTATGTTTTTTGTGTCCATTTGTTAAATTTTTCAGTAAAAGATTAACTATAATCCAGGGTGTTTGTTATCTTGCCATGTGAATATTCTTTATTGTAATTTTAAAATTGTAAATGCAACATTAAGTATTTAAGTAAGGGGTGGTCAGTGTTGCTTCTAGACATGGAGTCAAATCACGCTTTGATTAGCAGTGTGCATTGCCAAGTGAGCTGGACAAGAAAATAAAGGTTACGCTTTCTGCCTGGAAACAACAAAGCAGACTGAGGTGCATGATTCCTTTTGCCTCTCTGGAACAGTTTAGCACAGTAAATTGAAATAAAATCAGAAGAGTAGTTTGCAAAAATTAAAATTGGAACAGTTAAGAAGTAAACACCATGGAAACGGCCTTTAAGATACTTAGACATGATGGTGACAATTTTCTTTGACATGGACAAAAAATAAACTGCCTGGAAGTCCACTCCAAGCTGTTTACTATCATTTCCCTGCCAAAACTTCACTCTCCTCTCCTCCTTCTCCCTGATCCGTCAGCCGAGTTACTCATGTTGTTGCTCCCTACATACAAAATAACTTAGTAATCTGCTGTTTGAGCTATATATATCAGTCAAGCTCTTAAAGGGGTTAGGAAGCAACCATAAAAATATCCCAGCAAACACATTTGAGGGGAAAGCAACTTCTGGCAAGGCACTGGGGACAAGCAGCTGAGTAACCTGTGCCAGCTGGTGTAGCTGTAGCTAGAGTAGGATGTGTGTCTGTGGCCCATTTGCTCGCTACCAAACGCATGATGCAAATTAGCAGAATTTTGAGGAAGCTGCACTTCTGATGACCTGCCCTGTCTCAGTGTGGGAACAACTTCTTGAGAGAAAGAAAAGTCTCAAGGTTGTAGATTCCAGTAAAGCTCAGCTGCCTGGCTGTCAGAGGACTTTCTAAGTCTGTGAGTAGCCACAGGCACAGCAACAGCTCCTCAAACAACAAAATCGAAAGAGATTGCCTGCTTCTTTCATTGAATGGTCGATAGTTTGTATTTGTGAAATATTGTCGAACAGTCTGATAACTGCAGGGAAAAATTCTGCATGATGTGGTATTTCTGTATCCTGCTACCAACTGAATAAAGCAAATCCAGATAATGGTGCAGGGAAGGTGAAGGGGTTTAAAGAGAGAAATCAAATTGTACTATGCTACCCATGTAATAGCTCAGTACCTATTGATACACCTATAAACAGAAAATTGTGCCCACGTGGGATTTCGTTGGCTTTTACAGGACCTTTAAGTAGCTGCAAATCAATTAATTTGAGAAGCCAGCATTTAGATTTCACTGAATTAGGCAGTCCATGCTGAAGAGTTGTGAACTCACGTTAACCAGCCAGCTGAGAGACCCTTGGAGAACATCCTAATAAGTCATCTGTGTCTTGGGATCTGACAAAATTAAGAATCGCAGAGAGGACTCCTTGTGGCTTTCCTGATAAAATGTTCATTGGGATAAATTATAATATTTTAAACATATGCTATCTTAACTACAACAGAGTATGTATTAGACTTAATGAAGTAGCTTGATACAGAGTTAATTACCTAAAATCCTGTGATACAATGTTGTATATTACATTCCATGGAGTAGTATTTACATTGTAAGTGGTCACTAAAACACCTTAACACTGGGGCTTCTGACAGAGTTTTATTTGGCGTGTATTCATCATGCCGTAAAAGCAACCGTAGTTCTTTTCCTGTGTTTCACCAGAAGGACTAGAGACTTTATCTGGCATTTAAATTGCATTTGTGAGCTTTTTGTACATATTTCTTTGCGTGGGTGAAACCATTGGTGAGGAGTCACTCTTTTTACAGTTACCTTCACCATAAACAAAACCATACTGGGATATATATGTGTATGTAGGACGTTTTTACTTGATGAATTGTTTTTTTTTTCTTTACTGCCAGATTTATAAGGGTCCGGACTGGTCATTCCGATACACAGGCCTCCAGCTGAACTGTGAATACCGTTTCCGCGCATGTGCCATTCGACAGTGCCAAGAGACAGTAGGTCACCAGGACCTGATAGGCCCCTACAGCGCACCCGTGCTATTCATCTCTCAGAGGACTGAACCACCGGCAAGCGCCAAGGACACTGTGCAAACCACAAGGACACAATGGTCACAGAGCGACCAAGTGTGTGCTGCTGTCATCCTTGCACTTTTTGCTATCTTTTCCATTCTGATTGCTGTTATCATTCAGTACTTCGTAATAAAGTGAAGAAAAGAGATTTATTTTAGAATGCTGCCCATTACATTTTACTTTCTCATAATCTAAAAGTAATTCTGTTCTCTTGCTTTTACAAAAACAGGCATTTAGCACCGGCATTGGGACTGATGCAAAAATTTTCAGCCACTTTCAAATGCTTGCTGGTAGGTATAGGCTGACACATGTTATTAGAACGCAAGCCACAGAAATACAATCTTTTCTTTAATATGCCTTCTTGCAGTACAAACTCTATATGGGGCAGGCAAGCAGTGTTTAATGAAAAGGGTTTGACCAGTAGACACGAGTGTAAAAATGGTTTCCTGGCCCACACTTTTAAGGGTTGCTACCATAACAGGGAAGAATGTGTAGATTGCATTTAAAACTTACACTAACAAACTTGTGCTGTATACAATATTAATCTGATGCTGTGAAAGCAATTTAGCGCTGTATTTCTACCTCCTCATTTGTCTTAATTATTTGGGAAGCAGGATTTATGCTGAAAAACAGAAGGGGATTTTCTCAGGCAGCAAATAATAAACTGGATGGAAGAGAGTGGATGAAGGAAGCTTCTTATCTGATAAATGTGGAGTTCTTCACTGCAAGTAGATGTTTTCGAAAGACTACAAGGGGATGGCACAAGTGGTTTATCTTACCCCCAGGATTTGATGTTTACTTAAAAAAATGCCTCTTTTACTTCTTACGAATATAGAAGGGAGAGTGTGAGAGAACTTCTTAGACTTATTATTTAAATTGAAAAACACATTTCCTAAGTTGAGCTTTGATTGGATGCAGTTTATACAGATGTCTGTGCCCTCTGATTTTGGCTAGTTAATAGATTTTTGAGATAAAATTCATTATTGAATTTTTGCTGTTTCCCCAGCATTCACTTGCCATATCCACCAGAATCAAGCACTGCCTTTTTTTCGTTTTCTTTCTGTCTTTCTTTCTTTCTTTGGGGCACCAAATCAGAAGACGAAGTGTAGTAATTTGCACCAGAAAACTTAAAGCTGCTTTTTTCTTGAGATCCTAATGTTTAATGTAATGTCTCTTTGGATACTGTACCAAATTGTTGATTGCATGTAGTTAATGTTGCATTAGAGCACTTTGCAATTGCATAACTCATCAATGTTTTGTGAGCTTGCATTTGTGAGTTCTTGAATGACCAGACTGAATTTTATCAAGTATCCCATTGAACATCTTGCTAGATGTCAATGATTGCCAGTGACATAAAGCTTGTAGTGAAACTATCTTTAAAAAAAAAAAAAAAATCCTTGTCTCATCACACTTACGTTATTTGTTATACACTTTGTAATTAGCTATTTTTAATTTATTTGAGTTATAAGATAGTGGATCATTAATGACTTCTAGTTGTGTTCAGTTTAGCATTTTTAATGGTATTAAACACTTCTGTCAGTCTTAATAATAAAAAAAGGAACCTCTGTCTTGTGCTTTGAAGATCTCTGAAGAATTTCTCTTATATTAGAACGGGCATGTATTGTAATTGTTTATACGTCCAATGATCTGTGCTGTAGAATAATGTTGCTGAGCTTCGTTTTTTTTTTTTTTTAAAAAAAAGGCGAAGAACTTGGCCTCCACGTGGCGAGAACGATCTGTCTTTAAAATGTACTGTATGTTTACATTTTCTTTCAAGTTTGTCATTTGTACGTATAGGCTGATACCTTCCCGCAGGATACCGCGATAACTGATGTTTTCTAGAACCTTCTTAAAAGTGCCATGTTTGGCAGTGCAAATGAGGTTGCGTGTAACAGCCCAGAGATTTCTTACGGTCGAATGTCTAAAACGGTAAGATTTGTTACTACAGTTAATCTGCAGTGACTTATGTTTTTCATAGTAAAATTCAAATGAGCTCCTATTTTTGATAGTCATTTAATAGTGTATTTGCCATTTGAGCCTCAGTGCGTATTACTGCATTGAAGACAGTTTTTAATGTAATCTTAATTTTACCTCATATACTGTACATTCCAAAAATAAATAAAAAAAAGAAAAACTCTAAACTTTTTAAAACGTTATAGATACACTACCAAACATATCACTTTACAATTGTACAACGTCGGACTCCATGAAGACGAACCTGTATAGTCTGATAGAAAATACATAAACTATGTAGCAAAGTATCTTTAAAAATCTGTGGAAAATAAAACTATCATTCTTTTTTGTTGTTGTTGTCACTCCTGTTTGCCTGTAACGCTGCTGCAGAAGCCTTTCCTTCCCCCAGCTGCCCGGCGGCGGTGCCGGTGCGCGGCGGGCAGG